AAGGTATACCCAACAATTATCTTCTCACCAACCCCAGGAGAGAGCCCATTCCCTTTTCCATCATCTCTCCCAGTATTACAGGCCAAGTTGTCTTCACTCAGTCTCAGTCCTTCGTCACAAGTGTCACACTTGCTGGAGTCGTCTTCCGCACAAATACTGCAGCCATACGTACAAAGTTTTTTTTTCTTGGGGGTGGGGAGCGCCAGGGAATGGAGGCGGGGAGTAGGCGGAGGGGGCGAGGGGTGGGAGAGCGGGTCCGGGGAGGCGCCGAACGCACAAGCGAGGGCGGGAGCGTCGTGGGGGGGGTGGGTGGGAGAGGGGGGATGCGAGGCGGTGGGAGGACAGGGCAGGGCGGGGGGAGGAGACGGAATACGGGGGCGGGATGGTGGGGGCAAGGGGAGCGCGGGGGGTGGGAAGACGGAGAGGGGACTGGAGGGGCACGGAGGGGGAGGGAAGTGGGCGACGGGTCGGGGTGAAGGGGAATCCGGGGGCAGGGGGGGAGCAAGGGCGGGGGGAGAGGGGAGCGGGGGATGGGCGCAGACGGAGGAGAGAGTAGGGAGGGGCTGTGGTAGGGGGGAGGGGGAGAGTGGGCAAAGGGGAGGGGTGAGAGGTGGGAGGGGCGGGGGAGGGCGGGGAAAACCGTGGGAGGCGCGGCGGGTGATGGAAAAGGGGAGGGGGAGGAGCGGGAGGGTTTACACGGTAGAGGGAGGGGCGAGACCCGGGGGGACAAAAAGGGGAGCGCCTGTGAGTGGCGGGCCGGAGGAGGGGGGAAGACTGGCTGGGGCGAGGGGGGAGGGAGGGAGGGAGTAGGGGGGGGGGGAGGGTGGGTAGGTGCGTGGGTGGGGTGGGGTGGGACTGGGGAGGCAGGGGCGGAGGGGAGGGGTAGGACCGGCGGGGGGGGGGGCGTGGGGGGCGGGGGGAGAACAAAACCGGGAGGAAAAGGGGGGGGAGAGGGGGAGGCGAAGGGGGGGGGGGGGGGGGGGCGTGGGGAGGGGGGGGGGAATGGGGGGTGGGGTGCGGGGCGAGGGGGGGTACGGTGGGGGGGGGGGGGGAGTTTTTTTATTTTTGTACTTTTTTTTTTAGTTGTTTATTTTTTTGCACATCCTACAGGATGAGAGAAGAGGCGGTTCTAGAGCATTCACAATCGAGGTTCAGTGACTCACTGCAAAATTCACTCTCGAGTTTGTAGTTAGTGTTCCAAGAACTGCATTTGTCCTATCGCACTGATACAGTTCGACAGGCAGCTATAGCGGAGGCAGATGTGGGTGCATGAGAAATGAAACTGCAATGAATACCAAATCTGGTATAAACTACCATAAACAGGAGGTTAACATAATACTCTGGAGATTTGTGGGCCATATTCATGCAGTGGGGGTATGCTGTGTGTTGATGCACTCAGCAAGTCACTAATTGGACGTAAAACCACTCACATGATGGTTCATTACCAGACCAGCTAACACTAGCCAAACATGTTCTGGTGGCATCTCCCACTAGATTATAGCCATCATTGCAGGTGTAAGTGGCTGTTGAGTGAATGTTGTAGTAGACAGATCCAAATCTCCATTTGCTGGTTCTTCTCTAGTTGACCACACTCTACGCTGCATAGCAATCAGTTAACTGATTGCTTTATGCAAATTGCTCTAGACTATACCTCTGCATGTTGGTTCACCTCCAGACCAGCTAGCACTAGCGAGACATGTTATGGTGGTATCTCCCACTAGACTGTAGCCATCATTGCAGGAGTAAGTGGCTGTTGAGTTGAATGTTGTAGTAGACAGATCCAAATCTCCATTTGCTGGTTTCTCTAGTTGACCACAATCTACGGCTGCATAGAAAGTCAGTTAACTGACTGTTTTATGCAAATTGCTCTAGACTATACCTCTGCATGTTGGTTCATCTCCAGACCAGAGACCACTAGCGAGACATGTTATGGTGGTATCTCCCACTAGACTGTAGCCATCATTGCAGGAGTAAGTGGCTGTTGAGTTGAATGTTGTATTAGTCACAGTAACTGCTCCATTGACTGGGTCTGTAAGACTACCACAGTCAACATCTGTAACAGAATTCATTCATGATGATTCAGAAAACAAATGTTTAACTTCACCATCTTCGCAGTTATGGCCAGTTTTACCCTCTGGACAGACACATATACTGTCAGAGTTGGACACGAAAGGACTCAGACACTGCTCCACACACACTGAGTTGTTGTAGAAGTTGCAGCAGTCACTGGCACCAAATCCAAAGCATCTCATGAGACCTTGATCACATGTTGAGTTACAGGCTGTGGAAAAACAAAGACTGTGACAGTAGGTTGGATTGATCTATTGCTCACTTACCTACACAGTGAGTTACGCCATCAGTCGTGACACCCAGCTCGCTTGCTAGTTCTGGAGACACACAAGTTGAACAGTCGTCTCTGGCAGTGGTAGAAAGGTTGGCTTCAGTGGATTCTGAACGAGTTAAAGAAGTAGAGCCTTCTACTCTATTGGTCCACTGTCCACTTTCACAACCAGACTCAATCTGCTCCACTGCAGTTCCTGATGGACAGTTGGAGTGACCAGAGCAAGTGTAGTGCACCACAACTGAAAGGCCGTGTAGGAGGTCTTGTCGGTCAGAAAATCTGAGACAGACAATTCTCAAATCAGACACATCCACTGTAGGCGCTGCAGCAGCATCTCCTGCTTGGATGATAAGAGGAATCACGGTGTCCTCCAGATCGAACTTCAGGCTTTCTTTCGTAGGTATGGTACAGAACTGACTGTAGCCTGATCCTACCACTACAGCTACCAGCAGCAGCGCCACTAATTTCCTGCCCAGCATGTTGAGTAATTCAACTGCACGACAATACAAACAAAAACGAAATTGCGTCAGTATGATGCTATATAGGACTGACTGCAGGAAAGGATGATGATGCAAAAAATAACGCATGCGCGGGACGTCGTACACGCAGTGTGATCACATGACTATAAAGTGGTTCCGTTTCCACTCGGATCTGCTACGGGTATGTTCATCCCATTGGCTCCAGTCTGCCCCTCTGGCCGGTCTGAAGTTATGTCGTTGGGTGACACAAACAGCGAGTTATCCTTTACAATACCCCTGCAATAATGATATAATAATAATCTGGGCGGAAAATATTTACGCAAAGAATCTGACAACCATATATACCACCTTTACTTTGTTCCCATAATGCTTGTACCATAGATTTTGACCTCCGCCAAGGAGAACACCTCCCTTTATGGCCCACTAAGGTAGACGGGTTTCACTTGTTACTAACTTCAGTGAAATCTCAGCAGTCTTCAGTTTCGCTTTAGCTCTCTTTCTCGTAGCAATGAAGGCTCCAATGATGAGAAGAGTAATTAGCAGCAAGAGTAGGAGTGCCCCTATTATACAAGCAATGATTACTCCTGCAGGGAAAATGTTAAGTAAATGATGCAGACTGTAGCACTATTTTTTTAAAGGACCGAGATTAGGACTTTGGTTGTCGTCTCCAGTAGAGCGCTCCTTTTCTCTGCAATCTTTTGTTACCTCATCTTGAACCAAGCCTTCCTTGCAAACTGAAAGAGAAATAGAATGAAGTATTCAACACAAACACTTCCAGGATTCGTTTTGGCTTTCCTTGAAAACCCTCTGCAAACGGCCGAGCATGCAGTGTACAAATTCATGGTTCAGTGTAAGTATATTATACAACAGAGGTTTTCTTGACTCACAGTCTTCGCAATTTTCCCCAGTCATTCCCTCAGGACAGACACATATACTGTCAGAGTTGGACACGAAAGGACTGGGACACTGCTCCACACACACTGAGTTGTTGTAGAAGTTGCAGCAGTCACTGGCACTAGGTCCAGAGCATCTCATGAGACCTTGATCACATGTTGAGTTACAGGCTGTGGAAAAACAAAGACTGTGACAGTAGGTTGTATTGATCTATTGCTCACTTACCTACACAGTGAGTTACGCTATCAGTCGTGATACCCAGGGTGTTTGTTAGTTCTGGAGACGCACAAGCTGAACAGTCTTCTCTGGCAGTGGTTGAAAGACTGGCTTCAGTGGTTTGTGAACGGATAAGTGTCGGTTCAGTAGAGCCTTCCACTCTATTGCTCCACTCTCCACTTTCACAACCAGACTCAATCTGCTCCACTGCAGTTCCTGATGGACAGTTGGAGTGACCAGAGCAAGTGTAGCGCACCACGACTGACACTCCACGTAGGAGGTCTTGTCGGTCAGTGAATGAACGACAGACGGGGTTGAAATCCATCAGAGTTATCGTGGGTTCAGCTGCAGCATCCCCTGAGCTGATGATGGCGGCAATCACACTCTCCAGCTCGGTACTACTAGGATACGAGCAGTAGTGCTGCTGACTGTAGCCTGACCCCACCACTACAGCTACCAGCAGCAGCGCCACTAATTCCGTGCCGTTCATGATGCTTGGCTATTGCAAAAAACCCCGTAACGAGCGGATCCTGTCTGATCTGCGTCTAAAAGGCGAGCGGGAGCGTGCTAATAGTGGTCCAAACGGCGCGATTTTTCTCAACACACCAGTATAGGTGCAGACAGGGGAGAAAAGACAGAAAGAGCAGACCAGTGGCCTTCTGGACTCTATCCCTTCGCCAACCGAGGGCTTACAGGCTCCTGGACCGACCACTGATCTGCTCAGAGCACAGAACATGAGGAAGATGTTTAGACAAAGGGGGCTCCAATGCGCATGCGTAATAAATCATACGCGCGCGATCGCGCGATCGCTCACTTTCTACGCACAAAAGCCCGAGAAAAGCACTTTACGCTGGATGACGCTGGCTAGGTCGGTTCTAGTGGGGTAAGCACAGTGCAGCTGGCCCCGCGCGAGACGTTCACGACAGAAATCATGTCAGACTGCAGACACAGTCCGCGTTCTTACTCCCAGACTGAGCATGCGCATAAGAACCAGCGCGAGCGTGCGCAATAGCTCGTCAACATAATTGAAAAAAAAACAACAAACAAAACAACAAAAAACAGGGGAATTATACAGTAGGCGAAGGAAAATGAAACATATACAGCATAGTCTAGTTTTCCTGGCATTCACACACAAAAAAACAAGGCAATAATGTTTGTGGACCATAGCTAGCTAGTCTAGTTTTCCTGGCATTCACACTAAAAAAAGGAAGGCAATAGTGTTCGTTGAGGTTACGTTTGTCAGTTGACTTCAGCATATATTCTGTTGACGGCTTCAGTTGAAGTCGCATAGGCACAGTTTTCATCCATTTCAATCTTGTCATTCTTGCTTGCATGTGATGACCCTTGAGTATACAAGTCAATGATGAGATTTTCGTTACTTGAGTTCTTTTTTGACAGCTTCAGCCCGAGAACCACCACTGTCACTGCTAGAGCTATGAGCAAAGCACCAAAGACCACAGTCACAGCTAACAAGACCTTCTCCCGTAGTGTGAGACCTATTCAATAGAAGTGCAATTCTGGGATAATAATCACGGTAAGCAGGTTATTCGTGTTTTCTACTTGTGCGCATATTATATATGCTAATACCTATAGACAAACTGAGCAGTGACGATAAAGAAGGTGTGGTGGCTTGTAGGTTTATGGAGAAAGTGCATTATCCATTATAGTTTCTTACCATTTTGCACTCCAATCTCAGATCTGTCTGCTGCTTCTAAAAGACAGAAAGCGGGCAAAATTATTATCATTGGTGAGCGACTATTAGTGACACCCATTAAAATTACAGTCTGATGAAAAATACACTTCCTTGTCAGATCAGCTCCCTGACAAGCTACCTAGTCCTGGCCTCATTCCCTCTATATTATAGATAGTTTAATATGTATGCCATGTAGCTGTATATGTGCAATTGTCCATAAGATCACCTGCCTTATCTGAGAATTTGTATATAGGAGTAGCTAATGGAGATAATTCCCTATGTATATATGTATATACTTACTCTCACAAGTAAGCTCAATGGTACTCCAACTCCCATTTTCCTCACAGATGATTTCGAACCCAGGGCAGAAAACAGTAGCTTTGGTTCCCACGGTGTAGCTTGTCTCATTATCCACAATAAGGCGTTCGGTGGAATATTTTATTACCCCATTCTCCACCATATCAAGACTATCGGGGCAGGTAACTGAAGAAATATACACAGCAAGATATTTTGCATGAAAAGACACATTGCAACAACTTTAACAAAATCTGGGACTGACATTAATGTGATTTTATACCTTTGATGCATTCAAGATCTTCGTTTGACCAGGTCTTATCATTTTGGCAAGTCCTAGTGTTCCTTTCGTCTTTGAATCTGTAGTCAGTGTCACACTCATATGTGGCTACTGCTCCAACCTCCGTGGTGGCTGGTACTCCTGAAACTTTCCCGTTCACTAAAGTTGGGACTTCACCACACTCAATCACTGTGCATCAGACGAAAAAGAAATGTCTTATAGTGACTGAGTGTAAGTGAAACAGCTCTTACCGGTGCAGTTTGGTAGGGTGGAGTTCCATGTACCAGCGTTGCTGCAGATAGCGCCATACCCATCTGTCTCATACCTATCATTGCATGCAACGGTAGCTGTAGTTCCCAACGAGAAGCCTTCTCCTGTAGCATCCTGAGAATACTCCACTCTTCCATTCTCAACTGTGCCAAGGCTATCAGGACAGTCTCTCACTGTTAGGCAAATGGAAGAGAAAAGAAGTATATAAACTGACAGAGAACAAAAAGACGCAACTTACAGCAGTTAAAGTCATCGCTGATGGAATAAACACCGTCTTTCGGACAGGCCTCGCCACATGTGCCATTAGATAGATAAACCTGACAGCATGAGTCAGAACCAAAGCCAAAGCATCTTCTAGCTCCAGCTTCTTCACCACTGCATAGAGCGTTACATTCTGCAAATGGTCATGTGATAAACCACACATATTTCAGAAACCATCAAAGTCAGTCCTCACCAATGCAATGCGACCCGTCGCTGGCCGGATCAGGAGCGCCTTCGGCACTAGCGACTTCTTGAGACGCACAGAAAGAACAGTCTTCTCTGAGATCAGTTGAGAAACCACCAGTGGCAGGAGATGTCCGAGGAGTTCCCGTGAGACCAAGAACTCGAGTGCCCCAAGTATTTCCGGCACACTCGGCTTCAAACTGCTCTACTACCATACCCTCGGGACATCCCGCATTTGCCTCACACGTGTACTCAACGATAACAGAGAAAGCTCTATAGCGATCTCTTTGCCGACTGTAGGCCAGGCACACAATACGGTGTATGTTCAAGGTGATGGTAGGGGTGACGGCATTCTCTCCAGCCACGAAAACTTGAGATATCACATCTCTAATAATGTTTTCAGTAGGATAGTCACAGTCCACCACACACGACCCACTCCCGAGGAGACAAGTAACCAGAAAGTACGATAAGACGCATGATGTTCCTCACAGCCAGCTCAAGGTCGGTCCGCAGCAGACAGTCGGCAGAATAGCATGCGCGACGTGTGCGCGTCAAAACGGCTACGATTGCGCATGCGCTTGGGGTGCCGAAGAGGAGTGCTTGGCTCCGATAGTATTTCCTGATACAGAGCTCAAGAAGGATGGACCTTGTATAGTGGGGAGGCCGAATAGTGTCTGTTGAAATAGTTTATCTCCCATCTTTTGTCAGAATAGCTGAATTGTACACTTCTACAGTTCGGAGCATTTACTGCATCATTGATGTAGCTAACAGTATAAATCTCTGAACACTCAACTACAGACAGGCACATAAAACACAAAATTCAGTTATCCGTATAAACTGTTCTTTTCGAAGCTTATTTACCCGAAGCTCCGATGCTTTTGGCCTTTGTCTCTTTCTTGTCCTCCTTCTCGGCAGCCTGAGCACTGGAGGCTGGTTTCAAATCTTTGGAGAGTGCCACATAAGATGTTTCAGACTGAGCTGTCTTCAATTCTTTCTTGGCCTTTGAAGCTGCTGCTGAAGCTAGTGCAAACGCAGTTGATCTTGGATCTTTCTTTACCTTCGAAACCGTAGCATATTTTTTTGGCTGAGTCAATCTCAGATCTTTCTTGGACTCTGAAACTGTTTCGGAAAAGGAAGAAGACTCGGTCGATTTCCAATCTTTTAAAGTGACTCCAAAAGGGGTAGCTGCTTCTGTCGTGTCGTCATTGTTGGTGTCACCCTTACTTACTACAACGACTGGAGTGTACACGACTCTTCCCTCGGAGGCTTGACACTGCCACCTTCGCTATTGGATTCTCAGACTTCAGTAGCTTTCTTGTCAGTTTTGTCTTGTTTGCCTGGTTCAGAGTGTCCTCCTTTTCTTTCTG